CTATTGAAAATAAACAGAGGAGATAAAAAAGAATAAAAACAATAAAGTGTATGTAAAGGATCTAGAAAATAGCCTGAAAAGGGCAAATCTAAGAGGTATTGGCCTTAAAAAGGAGGTAGAGTAAGAGATAGTGGTAAGGAGGTTATTAAAAAGGATAATAACAGAGAACTTCCAAACCTAGACAAAGATATTAATATTCAAAATAAGAATGTTAAAAAACGTCTGGCATATTTAACTAAAAGAAGACTATTTAAGACATTTAATAATCAAACTCCCAAAGATAGAGGATGAAGAAATAATTCTAAAAGCAGTAAGAGGAAAGAAACAAATAACATACAATGGAGATAATAAAAGAGAAATTTCCAAACTTACAGAAAGAAATCAATATCTAAGTACAATAAGGTTATAAAACGAAGATTTAACCCCCAAAGCCAAGAAGGCTACCTCAAGGCATTTAATTATCAAACTCTCTAAGGTCAAGGGTAAAGAAAGTATTGCTAAAAGCAGCAAGAGAAAAGAGAAAAATAACATACACTGTAGCTTCAATATGTCTGGCAGCAGCAGACTTTTCATTGGAAACCTTACAGGCAAGGAAAGAGTGGCATGACGTAGTTGAAGTGCTGAAAGGGTGGGGGGAAAACTATTACACTAATAGTATATCTGGTAAAAACATCCTTCACACCTAAAGAAGAAAAAAATTTCACAGACAAACAAAAGCTGAGGGACTTCGTACAAAACTTACTGGTAAGACTAAGTACACAGAAAAGTCCACAGTCCAAAGTCTCATCTGAGAGAGGGCAAGTCCCTTCCGCCTATAGCCTTTTGAGTCTATTTTCTAGATCCTGGATACATGCTTTATTGTTTTTTATTCTTTTTTAAATCTCCTCTGTTTATTTTCAATTGAAGAGGACACTGTAACTGTAATGTGTAAACTACTCTTATCCTAAGTAGAAAGACTAAACAATGAGCCAATAAAAAATAATTACACAGCATTTCAAGATCCACATAAATGAAATAATAAACAAGGAGGTATTACAATTGATACTGCAGAATTTCAAACAATCATTAGTGGCTACTATCAGCAACTGTATTCTAATAAATTGGTAAATCCAGGAGAAATGGGAAAATTCCTAGAAACATAAAACCCACTAAGATTGAACAAAGAAGATATCCAAATCCTGAACAGACCAATACAAAGTAAAAAGAAAAAAAGCTGTAATGAAAATTCTTTGATTAAAGGAAAGCTCAGAACCTGATGGAGTTACTGCTAATTCTACAAAACATTTATATAAGAACTAATACCAATCCAACTCAAGCTATTATGAAAATAGAGGAGGAGGGAATACTTCCAAACTCATTCTACAAGGCAAATATAACCCTCATACCAAAATCAGACAAAGAGATATCAAAATATAAAAACTGCACATTAATATATCTGATCAATATTGATGCAAAAAACTTCAAGAAAATACTAGCACATCAAATTCAACAATACATTAGAAAGATCATTCATCGTGATCAAGTGGGATTTATCCGTGGGATGCAAGGATGGTTCAACGTAGGCAAATCAATTAACGTGATACATCATATCAACAGAATGAAGGACATAAACTATATGATCATATTAATTGATACTGAAAAAAAGCATTTGAAAAAATTCAACATCCCAGTATAATAAAAGCCCTAAAAAAAATGAGTATAGAAGGAACACACCTCATCATAATAAAGTTGTATATGCGAAATCTACAGTTAGTATCATATGGAATGGGGAAAAAGGAAAAATATTCTCCTAAGACCTGGAATACTACAAGGATGCCAACATTCACCACTATTATTGAATATAGTACTGGAGGTCCCAGCAAGACCAGTCAAACAGGAGAACAGAATAAAGGGCATCCAAATTGGAATGGAAGAAGTCAAAGTACACTTGTTTGCAGATAATGTCATCTTATATTTGGAAAAACCTGAAAGTTCCATTGAAAAATTATTAGAACTGATAAATTTGGTAAATTTTCAGTATATGAAATAAGTATAAAATTGATAGCATTTCTATATACTCACAGTGAAAAGTCTCAAAAAAATTAAAAAGTGATTATTTTTACAACAGCCACAAATAAAATTAAATACCCAGGAATTAACCAAAAAAGTCTAAGATCTTTATAATGAAAACTATAAAACACTGATAAAAAAATTGAAGAAGACAAAAAAAATGGAAAGATATTTCTTATTCATGGATTGGAAGAATCAGTATTGTTTAAATGCCCATACTCCCCAAAGTATTCTATGGATTCAATGCAGTCCCTCTAAAAATATCAATGACATTCTTCACAGAAATAAAAAAAAATTCTAAAATTTATATGGAACCACAGAAGTCCTAGAATAATCAAAGCCATCCTAAGTAAAAAACAAAACAAAACAAAACAAAAAAACACACACCAAAAAAAAAAAAAAACCCACAAAAAACAAAACTGGAGGAATGACATTACCTCACTTCAAATGATACTAATGATATATAGTAACCAAAACAGCATGGTACTGTCATAAAAACACACATAGGAAAATGGAACAGAATATAGAACCCAGAAACAAATCCACACATCTACAGTGAACTCATATTTGACATAGGTGTCAAGAATATACATTTGGGAAAAGACAATCTTTCCAACAAAAATGATGTTGAGAATACTGGACATCCATATGCAGAAGAATGAAACTACACCCTTATCTCTCCCCACATACAAAAATTAAAATAGATTTAAAAATAAAAATTGATTAAAGATATAAATCTAAGACCTCAAACTATGAAACTATACAAAAAATAATTGGGGAAACTCTCCAGGACATCAGTCTGTGCAAAGATTTCTTGAGTAATAACTCACAAGCACAGGCAATAAAAGCAAAAATGGACAAATGGGATCACATCAAGTTTAAAACCTTCTGCACAGCAAAGGAAATAATCAACAAAGTGAGGGAACAATCCACAGAAAGAGAGAAAATACTTGCAAACTACTCATTTCACAAGAGATTCATAACCAGAATATATAAGGAGCTCGAACAGCTTCATAGAAAAAAGTCCAATAATCTCATCCAAAAAAATGTACAAACGATTTGAATAGACATTTTCCAAAAGAAGACATACAAATGAAAAACAGGCATATGAAACGGTGCTTGGCATTATGTATCATCAGACAAATGCAAGTAAAACTACAACATGATATTGTCTAACTACGGTTAAAATGGCTTGTATCCAAAGACAGGCAATAACAAATGCTGGTGAGGATGTGGAGAAAAGGGAACCCTGGTACACTGTTGGTGAAAATGTAAATTAGTGCAGTCACTATGGAGAATAGTTTGGAGGTTCCTTCAAAAAGTAAAAATTGAGCTATTATATGATCCAGAAATCCCACTTCTAGGTGTGTATCAAAAAGAAAGAAAATCAGTATATTGAAGAGACATCTGCACTACTATGTTTGTTGCAGCACTGTTTAAAATAGCTAAGATTTGGAAGCAACCTGTGTCCATCAATAGATAAATGGATAAAGAAAATGAGGTACATGTACACAATGGGGTACTATTCAGCCATAAAAAAGAATTTGATCCAGTCATTTCCAACAACATGGGTGAAACTGGCAATCTTTAGGTTACATTAAAAAAAGCCAGGCACAGGAAGACAAACATTGCATGTTCTCATTTATTTGTGGGATCTAAAAATCAAAACAGTTGAACTCACAGACATAAAGAGAAGAAGGATGGTTATCACAGGCTGGGAAGGGTAATGTGAGAGGAGTTGGGGAAGGTGTGAATGCTTAATGGGTATAAAAAATAGACAGAATGAATAAGACCTACCATTTGATAGTACAGCAGGGTGATTATAGTCAATAATAATGTGCATTCAAAATAACAGAGTATAATTGGATTGTTTATAATACAAAAAATAAATGCTTGAGGGAATGGATACCCCATTGTCTATGATATGATTATTATGCTTTCCATGCCTGTATCAAAACAGGTCATGTATCTCATAAATATATACACCTATTATGCACTCATAAAAATTAAAAATTAAAATAGAAAAGATGACCAAAACTAACATGATTATCAATCAATTAGGAGCTATAATATAATAAAAAATTTGTATAAAGTAGTAAGAAAAAGAAAACCCTATAACATCCTAAAGACAGTAAAAGAAGAGAATTTTCAGTATGGGAACTATATGCTGTGCCTATAATAATTTGTTAATTAACAATGTTAATATCTGACAATCTTAAGGAAGATATAATATATCCATTATATTCTCTTTTATGTAAAATTGAGATATTTCACATGCAAAACAGTGACGTGAAGGCAGAAAAAATAGTGGGGTAATATAACATCAATTTTCGTCATATAACATACACTTAACTGATTGAAATATGGATGAATACATGATTTAACGAATGAGAAGTATATGAAAATTGAAAATATTGAAGTATAAAATTTAATGAAAATGTAATAATGCCCAATTTCTTAATACATTTTTGTATATTTCCCCCTTAGGCTTAATTTTCTAGGTATAATAAGACTGACAGTGCTGCAATATCAGAGCAAGTATATCAGTTTTTGACAACATACAACAGTTCTAGCCTTAGTTCTCAAGAGTCAACCTTCACACTAACTTTGCTTAATCTAATTTAAAATAATCATTTCCTAAGATTGTGTTTATAAAATATTCTATTTTACTAAAGAAGCCATGACTTAATATTTTAACGTATCAGTTTTTTTTTCAATTAGATATTCATTAATAGTGCCTATCAAAGATATTCCTCTATACCTACTGGCTAAGTTTTGATGAATTGAAAATCTTAAAATTATCAATTGAGCTTTGGCAGTATTCTATTTTTTTAAATTCCAGATGCTCCTTTCTTCAGTTTACTACCTTTCAACTCATATTACATCTTGTATTCATGACATCACAAAATCGAACAAATTCTATCATAAACATAATGTATTTAAAAGCTTACCTTTGAAAAATTCCAGTATTGAAGAGTCTTGTATTCAGTGAATTATGACATGTTAAAAAGGAAATTTAAGTCCTTATCTGCCAAAACTTTCTTTTCACACTATCCATGCATCACAGAGTTCCCTTCTCTCTGGTTGGAGATAGTATTAAAATTTTAGTGAAAAGTCACAATGAGATTTTTGATTTCTGGTTTGGCATGTAAAGAGTTTGCAAATCATTATTTCCATACTCATAAAATAAATAAAAGATGAACAAACTAAAAATCAATAACTCTACCTAAACTCATAAGAAAATTGAAATCACAGGACAAACTACTCCTCCAAATTTTGAAAAGACAGATGGAAGGAAACGGGAAATTATCACATACCAAATCAGAATCCCAAAAGCAGAATTGCTAGAGTCAGTACCAGGGAACACATTTGTAGACTGAACTGCCAAATTACTGGATGCTCAGGGTAGACAAACTTGGAAGTTTAAAACTCCAAAAAGACACAGTCTTAAGAGAGGTCCTCAATTTTGTGATTTTTTCTCTTTAGGAGTTCTATTCAATGTGCAGAAAATCAAAGACAAAAAATATCTTGGAATGATATGTGGAGAAAAAAGCTACTTTTGTATAGAGGTATTAATGAAAGTGGACCCCTATCACTCATCATGTATAAAAATTAGGACGTATAAAGTCTCGAATGTAAAAGCTAAAACTATAAAAATTCTAGAAAAAAAAAAGCTATGAAAAACTCTTCTGGACATTGGTCTACACAAAATAATTATGACAATGACTTCAAATGTAAATGCCTCAGAATAAACATTTTCAAAATGTACTTATTTAAATAAAAGAGTTACTGAACAGCAAAGAAAACAATCAACAGAGTAAACAATCAACAGAGTACACAAACCACCTACAGATTAGAGAAAATATTTGTGAACTATGCGTCTGACAAAGAACTTATATACAGAATCCACAGGAGCGTAAATCAGCAAGAAAAAAGAAAGACAAAGTAACCCCATTAAAAAGTGGGCAAAGGACATTAACAGATACTACTCAAAAGAAGATATATAAGTGGACAATAAACATATTTTAAAATGCTCAATATTACTAAATATCAGACAAATGCAAATTAAAACCCAATGGGATACTATCTCGCACTAATCAAAATGGCTATTAAAAAATCAAAAAGTAACAGATGTTAGTGAGGATGTGATGAAAAGACAATGCTTTTATATTGTGGGTGAAACTGTAAAGTAGCTTAACCCCTATGGCAAACAGTATGGAGATTTCTCAAAAGCAACAAACAGAGCTACTATTTGACCCAACTATCCCACTATTGGGTATCTACCCAAAGGAAAAGAAATCATCATATAAAAAGGAAGCTTGCATTTGTATGTTCACTGCAACACTATTCACAATAATAAAGCCACAGAATCAACCTAAGTATCTATAAATGGTTGACTGGATAAAGAAAATGTGGTATATATACACACCATGAAATAATATGCAGTCATAAAAAATAACAAAATCATATCTTTAGCAGCAACATGGATGGGGCTGAAGAACACTATTCTAAATGAAATAACTCAGAAACATAAAATCAAATATTTCATCTTCTTTCTTACAAGTCAGAGCTAAACAATGGGCACATGTTGATATAAAGATAGAAATAATAGACACTCGGGACTCCAAAAAAGGGGAAGGTGGCAGGAAGTGAGGGTTGAAATACTATGTTTTTGGTATTATGTTCACCATTTGGATGATGGCTTCACTAGAAGCCTAAACCTCGGCATTACACAATATACTCATGTAACAAACCTACATATGTACCCCGAATCTAAAATTTAAAAAAGAATTACATTTATCTTCAGTAACCATATAAGCAAGAAGAGAGTGTATTTTAATATTTAAAATGTTGAAACAATAAAAACACCAACTTAGAATTCTGTATACAGAAAAATTATCTTTCAAAGTGAAGAATAAAGATTTTATCGATATAAAAAGTGAGACAATTAGTCTACAAAAGGCTTTTCTGATGGAAAATGTTAAAACTTTTTTAGAAATAATGAAAATGATATACATTATAAATATGGATCTACATAAATAAATGGAGTTAGAGAAGAAATAAAGAAAAAATAAAATACTTTGTCCTAATTGATCTAACAGATAACAGGTTGTTAAACATAATGATACCAACAAAGAATTTAGCGAGTATATTTTGTGGATAAATAAAACCAAGAAGAGCAATAGCATAAAGGAAAGAAAGAAATAATTCATAATACTCTACTGTAAATTACTTGCCCTACCTGTGAACAAGTGTAGTATTATTCAAAAGTGGACTATGAGTAGCTATAAATGTATGTTGCAAACCTTAGAACATCCACTAAAAAAGGGTTTAAAAAGTAGTGTAATTGATATGTTAAGAAAACAGTAAAAATAGAGAATCATATGTTACAGAAGGCTCAATTAAAATCAGCAAAGACAGGAAAAAAACTAAGATGAAAAAGAGAAACAAAGTAAACAAAAAATGACAAACGTGGCAAGTATCAATCCAAATATATAAATCAACACTGTATATATGTCAATGACCTAAATGTATCAATTAAAAGACAGAAAACATCAAAGCAGATGATAAACAAGGCCCAACTATACATCTAAAAGAAAGACACTTTAAATATAAAGGTATAGATAGATTAAAAGTAAAGTGATGAAGAAAGATATAACCTACTAACACACATGCACACACACACACATACACACACAGCTGGAGCAGCTATACCAATCACAGACAAAGACTTGAGAGAAAGAAAATTTATCAAGATAGATATTATTATTACATAATAATGAAGGAGTCAATTCATCATGGAAAAAAAACCTTTCATGTGTATGTGCCTAATAACAGTGTCAAATAAATGAGAACAAAACTGATAAAATTGCAAAAAGAAGTAGATTAATTCATATTATAGCTTGGGACTTCACATCCCTTAAACATTAATTGACAGATTCAGAAAAAATCAGCTAGGGCTTACTTGAACTGAATGACACCATCAATTAACTGTATTGAATACAGCAACTTCAGAATACACATTCTTTTCATGCTCACATGGGACATTCACCAATACAGACTGGTCACCGTGGTCTGTAAAACACAGCACAACAAATTTTTAATAATAGAAATCATATAAACTATAGTCTCAGACCATAATGAAATTAAGCTAGAAAACAATAAGAGAAAGGTGGAAATTTTCCAAAATATTTGAAGATTAAACAATATTCTCCTAAATAACACGAGTCAAAGAAGTCTCAAGAGAAATTTAATATATACTTAACTAAATGAAAATGCAAAATACAACTTATACAAATCTATGAGATGTAGTGAAATTGAGAGGAAGTGCCAGCTGGGCTTCCCGGGTCGAGTGGGGCTCAGAAAGCTGTGAAACTCACTCATTTCCTGCCTCATGATTTACTTCGGTCCTGGATGAATAATATTGAAGATATATGCTTAAAATATTCCTCACACCAGGATTTGTGCATGTGTTTTCTTCCCCAAGAAAGCTATAAACAGCGAAAATTTTTCTGTAAGCTTCCCAGTGTCCTCTCTCCCTTCCCCCTCCCCTAAAACTAAAAGGAATGTTAAAAGCCCATTTTTTCTATGACCAGTGGACCTTATCCATGCTCCCAATTCCAATTCCTTGTAAACATACTTTGTACAGTCCTGTAAGATCCTGTCTCCTTTGTCATGCTGCTGCAAGATCATAAAGTAGATAAAACCTAAGTTACAATTCCGGTTTTCCTCAAAATCTAAGATGTCACAAAATATTTTACTGCCTTTGTTTCTTGCTCTGGAAACATCTTCCCGCCGCAAGTATTTCCCACGTTATAGAGTTTAAAAGGCAATCACCCAAAACCAACAGTGACTACCCACTCAGGACCCCTTCTACCCTGTGGAAGCTTTGTACTGTCACTCTGCTCAATAAAGCCTACAGCTTTTTTTCTCTTGGTTCGTTTCTCCATCACTCGCCGCAGGCAGCCGCCACACCATTTCTTTGGCATGGCTAAGGCAAGAACCTTCAGCGTTACAAAATCAGTGTGTAGTTGAAAATTTATAGCACTGAATGCATATGTTAGAAAATAAGAAAGATCTTAAATCAATAATTGAGATTACACTTTAGGAAACTACAATGGAAGAGAAAATTAAAACTAAAATTGGCCAAAAAATTAATTATAAAATTAGAGTATAACCCCGTGAAATTGAAAACAGGAAACTGATACCAAGTGGGATTGATTCCAGTTATACAAGGTAGGTTTAAAATTTGAAAATAAGTCAATGTAACCCACCAGTCAAAAAGACTAAAGAAAAAAATTATAAGATATAAATAGATACAGAAACACCAGTTGACAAAGTTCAGCACACATTTATGATAAAATATCTCAGTAGACTAGAAATAGAAGGAAACTGCCTTAATTTGATAAAGAACATCTAGACGCCTTCTCACGAAGATCAGGAACAAGACAAATATGTTCCTTCTCACCACTCCTATTCAACATCCTACAGGAATTCTTAGCTAATAAAATAAACAAAAGTAGAATAAAGTATATACTGATCAAAAGTATATGTATATTGGGGAGGAAAAAGTAAAACTATTTGTTGATGACAAACTTTTTATGTAGAAAATCTTAAAGAATCAACAAAAAAAACCCATGTGGAGCTATAAGTAATTATAGCAAGATTGTACGATACAAAGTCTTACAAAGATACAAAAAAATTGTGTCTTTTGCAGCAACATAAACAGAACTGGAGGCCATAGACAAATGTTGATTATTTTCTCACATATCATAAATGATTGAAATTTCAAATGAAAAACAAAATATCATTTAATTTTGCTCTAAGAAAGTGAACTGTGTAGGTATGAATCTAAAAAAAAACATATCCACAAGAACTCTCAGTGGAAAACTATGAAACTCTGAAAAAACAAAGGCGATCTAAATAAATGAAGAGATATTACATGTACATAAATAGGAAGATTAATATTGTCACAATGTCAACTCTTGCCAAGTTGATTCATTGTAATCCACTGAAAATTTCAGAAGTTAATTTGGGTATATTGAAAAACTTATTATAAAGTTTGTGTGGAAAGCAAAGACTCAGATAGCAAACACAATATTAAAGGAGAGGAACAAAGTCAAAGAATGGACAATACTTGACTCCGAGACTTACTACATTTGCATGTCTCTGATGATTGCTGATGATGAGCATTTTTTCACATGCTTGTTGCTCATTTGCATGTCTTCTTTTGAAAAATGTGTAGTCATGTCTTTTGCCTACTTTTTAATGGAATTATTTGGGAATTTTTTTGTTGTTTGAGTTCCACGTAAATTCTGGATATTAATTTGCTGTTAAATGCATACTTGGCTAATATTTTCTTCCATACTTCATGTTGAATCATATCTTTTGCAGCCACACAGAACTGGAGGCTGTTACCTTAAGCAAAACAACTCAGACACAGAAAATCAAATATCATATTTTCTCATTTATAAGCAGGAGCTAAATAATGTGTACACATTGATGTAGAGTGTGAAAGACAATGGAGACTTGGAAGTTTTGAAGGGTGGCAAGCGAGTGGTCAATGAGCGATTACTTGAACAGTACAATGAGTGTTATTCCAATGATAGATCCACTAAAAGCCCTGACTTCAGCACCATGAACTATATCCATGTAACAAAATTATACCTGTACGCCTTAAATTCATACAAATAAAATTTTAAAGAAAGAGTTACTATAAAGCTACATTAATCAAGACAGTGTGGTATTGGCAGAATAATAGACAAATAAAAGTGGGAAAAAATAGAGCCCAGAAAATAGACCTACACAAAATCATCAACTAATCTTTAACAAAGGAGCAATAGAATTTAAAAGGAAATTGGCTAGTCTTTTAAACAAATGATGCCAGAACAGAATAGCTAGACCTTCAAATCTAAAATCAAAACAGTATCTAAACACTGAACTACACTTTCATAAATATATCAAAATTGATGATTTAACTGTTAATTTCAAAGCTCTAAAACTTCTTAAACAGTAGAAAATTTAGGTGACCCCAGGTTTGGTGATAATTTTTTAGATATAATACCCAAAGCATGATCTATAAAATAAAAAATTGATAATTTGGACTTCATTAAAATTAAAAATGTATGCTCTACAAAAGACACTGGGCCAATGGCAAGAGAATGTAAAGATCAGCCACGGTCTGAGAGAAAGTCATGGCAAAACATGCATCTGATAAAATATTAATATCCAACATATACAAACTCTTAAAACTCTTAATAAGAAAAAAACCCCATTTTAAGAATGGGCTAAAGATCTAAAGAGACATCGCTAAAGAAGATATACAGATAGAAGATGAGAAGATGCTCAACATCTTATATCATGAGGAAATAGCAAATTAAACCAATGATGACTTGCCACTACATACCTGTTAGGATAGCTGAAATCCAAAACACTGACAATGCCTAAATGCTGGCAATGGAAACTCTGATTCATTGCTGATGGAAGTCAGCATAATAACTTCAGTGAATAATTATGTATTGCATATTAGAAATTTTCTAAGAGAGCAGATATTAGGTGCTCTTGCCACAAGAAAGGTAACTATGTGAGATGATGGATATATTAATTTCCTTTACTGTAGTATTTCACTATGTATATACATATCAAAACTTCATGTTTCATATCTTAAATATATACAATAAGTAATATTAAAAATAAAATAGCCATAATTTTTAAAAATAAAAATTAAATGTTGTTAATTAAAAATAATCTTAAAAGTCATAGTCATTCTTTTCAAAGACATCAGTAATTTTCATCATAAGGAAATCTATTCTCCCTCAAACCTGCATTTAACACCAATAACATTTCAGAAGAATCATGTGGTTTATATGTTTTACAAATTGATTTGATTATAAGAAAATAAATTTATAGAAACTGTATAATCCTCTCACATTTATAGTCCTTTCCCAAAAATTATCAGAATAATCAAATATATTTACTTCAAAGTTCTTTATTTCAAACCCCATACTTATGCATTAAACTTTGTAAAGAGTCATTAATTTCACAAATATATTCATAAACAGATGTTTTAAGGAATGAAATGACTCCTCATTTAGGAAAATATGCAGTTTGACTGCCACAGAGTATGGAATATTGAGAATAAAGAAAATACATTAGATTCTGCTTCCAGGGAAGAAACGAAAAAAGAATTCTGGCTTTAATTTTTTTTTTTTATTTATTTTTTTACCACTGACCTAACTATGCTAATTCAGAAGAGATTTCTACTTATTTTAAAAATTATGTAACTGTATAGCCAGATAATGAATTCTTATAAGAAACCAAGTTATATGTATCCTGTAAATTTAATTATGCTGTTAGGTTTGGGAAACAAGTATATTTTTGTATTCATTAACCATCTATACAACCACCCCACCCCCAACATCATTACCAGACTCTGGTGACTTATCATTCTACTTTGTATCTCCATGAGTTCATTTTAATTTTAGCTCCCATAAGTAACTGAGAACATGTGATGTTTGTCTTTCTGTGTCTGGCATATTTCACTTAAACATAATAATCTCTAGTTCCACACATGTTGCTGTAAATGACAGAATCTCATTCATTCTATGACTAAATAGTACTTTATTGTGAATATATACTGAATTTTCTTTATTCATTCATCTGTTGATGAACACTGAGTTTGCTTTGAAATCTTGGCTATTGTGAATAGTGCTGTAATAAACATGGGAGTGTGGATATCTCTTCAATATACTGATTTCCTTTATTTTGGGGATATAACTAACAGTAGAGCTGTTGGATGGTATGACAGCTCTATTTATAGTTTTTTGAGGAAGTTCTAAACTGTCCTCCATAGTAGTTGTGTTGATTTACATTTCTATCAAGAGTGTATAAGAGTTCCCTTTTCTTAAAATCCTCTCTAGCATTTGTTACTGTCTTTTGGATAAAAGCCATTTTAATTGGGATGACATAATATCTCATTGTAGTTTTGATTTTGATTTACTTAATTATCAGTGATGTTGGGTACCTTTTCATATATCTGTTTTTCATTTATATGTTTCCTTTTGATAAATGTATATTCAGATATTTTGTCCATTTTAACTGAATTATTATTTTTTCCTGTAGAGTTGTTTGAGCTTCTTACATATTCTGGTTATTAATCCTTTACGTGGTGGATAGTTTGAAAATATTTTCTCCCATTCTGTGCATTGTCTCTTCACTTAGTCAATTATATCCTTTGCTGTGCAGAAGCTTTTTAGCTTGATGTCATCCCATTTGTCCATTTTTTCTTTGGTTGCCTGTGCATGTGACGTATTATTTAAGAAATCATTGGCCAGTCCAATATCCCAGAGTTCCTCCAATGTTTCCTTTTACTGGTTTTATTATTTGAGGTCTTATAAATAAGTCTTTAATGCATTTTCATTTTATTTTTCTATATAACGAGAGACAGTAGTCTAGTTTCATTCTTCTGCATATGGATATCCAGTTTTCCCAGCACCAGTTATTGAAGAGACTATCTTTTCCCCACTGTATGTTCTTGGAATATTATTGAAAAATAGTTCACTGTAGATATATGGATTTTTTTCTGGGTTCTCTATTTTGCTGCGTTATTCTAAGTGTCTTTTTAAAAATATTATTTCACTTTTTTATTTTATTAAGACTTTTTTTTGGCCTAGCAAATAACCTAGCCTCGAGAATGATCCACGTGGTGAAGAAACATATTTGTATTCTGCAGCCATTTGAAACATTCTGTATATTAGGTCTATTTATTCTATCTTAAAGTTTAAATCTGATGTTTCTTTGTTGATTTTTCTTTCTGAATGATCTCTCCTATGCTGAAAGTGGGGTGTTGAAGTCTTCAGCTATCAGGTCTATCTCTCTCTTTAGCGCTAATAATATTTGCTTTATATATCTGGGTGCTCCAGTTTTGGCTGAATATATATTTAAAATTGTTATATCCTCTTGCTGAATTGAGCCCATTATATATAGTGAGCACCTGTGATGCTTCTTATAGTTTTTGTCTTAAAATTGGCTTTGCCTGATATAAATATAGCTACTCTTGCTACTTTTCAGTTTTCATTCACATAAAATATATTTTTCTATCCCTTTATCATCAGTGTTTGTCTTTTAGGTGAAGTATGTTTTTTGTAT